GAAAAAAAAAAAAAAAAAAAAAAAAAAAACAACAGAGGATTGCATGGAAGTATGTCTTATATTTTCCCTACAGAGTTTGGTGTCTTTTCAGTAAAGATTTGGTTGGTAGGATACAATGCTGCCATATTACAGGGTTAATCTGTATTTCTTTTTATCAAATGACACTGAATCTGTGTGTGTGTGTGTGTGTGTGTGTGTGTGTGTGTGTGTGTGTATGCGTGTGTGCCAGTTAGTCCTATCGTGTAAAATTTCTCTTTGGCTCAATTTTTAAAAATTTAAACAGCTTTTCTAATATTATAAAAGTTTATATTATGTTATCTCCTTGAATATTTATAAAATTGGAATAATTCCACAATGCAGTTGAATAGCACTGTGAAGTTATACAAAGAACATATCCTTATTAATTCGAAATGTACTCCATGTAAGGTCCTGTAATGTTAACCATAATCACAGATGACACCAGAGAGAGCCCAGAAGACATTCTATGTGAAAATGTATCCACCTTTTAACACATCTCTGAAATGATAATGGAGAAAATATACAATCAAATTGTTAATGCTTCATTTAATAGGTCTAGGGGGAGAAACAGAAACCAGAACTTAAAAATAAAATACATTCAGACTTCAACTTTTCTGTGAACTAGGAAAGATATAAAATAATAATAATGATTAAATGAACATCAATTTTCGAACACCTACATATATCTGAACAGATTGTGTACCAACTGATATTTCTGCCTTGCTTCTGTGAGCACAGAAATCCCTGGGACTACCCCTAGCTAGACCCCAGCTTTTAAGACAAGTGCTTTGGATCCAGTTACCTAATCTCTCTGTGCCTCAGTGTTCTCAGCTATATATGTTAATACTCACCTTACGTGGTTATCGTGAAGACCAAATTAAGATCATGTCAGTTAAGCACAGATCACACACTTAAATATGTTAGTTAATCTGGAGGAGTCTCTTCATTCAGGAGTAATTTGGCTTCCCAGTGGACATTTTTAGTTATCAAAACAGGGTAGTGGTATTGTCATAGATGTGTACATGCACTCTACTAAACATAATAGGCAGGACAGCCTCAAAAGCAAAGAAGCACCTGCCCCCCAAAAGCTAAAAGTGTCAAGGTTTAGAGAGCTCCTGTTATCATTAACAGTCCTCTACTAAGAATCTACTCTACACTGACTCTGAGTCTGTGAAACTATAGTACAATGAAATATAGAAGTCTTTTCACTCAGAGGATTATAATCTAATAGTAAACCTGTGGCTTGTCACAGTCTAGGGATGGGGAAAGCTGAGGAAAATGCAGACAACACCCCCTTTTTCAGTATAGAGGGGCAAAGAGGCACTCAGGATAACCTTAGACTGACTCAGTCCTCCCATCTCCACTCTCCCTGGTAGTTCTCAGAATACCTTGGATGTGCTGGGAAATGCAACATCTTGAGTTAGGGAGAAACTTACCAGAGCAGCCTGGGCTCTGTTCCTGTCACTTCTTTGTATGTCTTTGTACTATTACAATGAAATAGGTGAGACTGGGTAACTTTATAAATAGAAGAGGTTTATTTAGCTCACAGTTTCGGAAACTACAAGTCCAAGATTGGGCAATTCTCTTGATTATCCTCTGACGAGAACCTAATAGCAGACGGCATGAGGTGGGAATATGGGCAAGAGGGAGAAATCATATCGCAAGACAGGAAACCAGAGTGATTCAGGGGTGGGACTTGTTCTAACACAACTCATCTCACATGAGCTTAGGAGTTCCATGAGAGCTACCCAATCCCCTCCAAGGGCAGCTCTCTCAATGACCCAAGGAGTTCCCTGCTTTAAATATTCCATCTCACTGCCCAATATTGATACCCTAAGGGGCTAGGGATATAGCTTACTGGTGCTATGCCTGCCTGGTAAGCACAAGGTCCTGAGTCCTATCCCTGGTATGACCCCCAAAACATAAATAAATAAATAAATAAGAAGAAGAAGAAGAAGTAAAAGTAAAAATACTGACACCCTATAGAAGCACATGATCCCTTGGAGGACAAACCATATTCAAGCCACAACACTCCTGGGCCAAGTTGTCCCTCCGTGCTGTTGCCCAGCAGGTCCTGTGGCCTCTGAGGTCCAGAAAGCAAGGAAAGCTGCTTTGTGGGGTCCTTAGCTGTAGTACAAGCGAGGCATGTACAGATGTACCTGTGTTCTGGCAGCTCTCCTGGGCCTTGAGGGACTGGCTTGCCCTGAATCCTATCCCCTGAAGCCCAACTATGACAAAGCTGATTACTGTTACTTGTTTTTGTGAGTGCTCTGTCTCCTAGACACAGACAAGTAAGAAAAATGGAGCCCAAAATGCCAAGGCTGGAGTGCCAGGTTCTTGGTGAGGCAGACTTGCAAGAGAACCACATACCCCATCTGTATTCTGCGGAACAAAAGGAAATGGGGGACGGGGAGCACTGGATGCCCTGTGACAGACACATGCTCCAAGAGGAGTCCAGAGTCCCCTGCTAGCACAGCTTGCCAACCTTGCTTAAGAAAGATAGGCAGGTCTCTTCTTCAGAACTTTGCTTTGAAGTTTCAGCTAGTGCTGTGACAGATGCTGAGGACACAAGGACTCGGCCATTTCCTACAGAATAGGTCTGAGCAGTGACAACTCTGACCTGGCCCTCAGCGTGATCTCTCCCTCAGTTCTGGGGAATTTTCTGTAGGTCTCCTTGAGAAAAGCCACTTCTGCCTCCTAGGTTTGAATCCTGGCT